CATTCCTCTAAGAGAAAAACACACAAAACAATGGTGTTGTGGAATATGGGTGACCAAAATATGAATTGTGGAATTGTACAGTGGAGTAAAATTCCCAAAGAATTTCAAAATGTGTGTTTAGAGCCTTTGGGCATATATATATACACTGACAGGTCTCAMTTTTAGACAGCATCTCTACATGATTGCATGACAAGAACATGAAATACTTATATAAAAACCATTTCTTTTTCATTATTTTTCTTATGCAAGTTTCTTGTTGATCTTCTTGTTGATTGCTGATTGGGACAAAGATCTATTACTGGCTTTAAAGTTATTATAATATAAAGGTTTTAAAAATGCTACATGACACAATATGAAAGCTGTATGGAATCTGTCAGTGACGTCTTCAAAAAGAACGAAAATCAATAATAAATTTTTATCAAAAAATCTTTTATGTTGTGAATACACGACACATTATCAGACATTATTATGAAATAAATGTTCAAGAACGCTAAGGGTTTAAGGTTGTTTTTAGTGTACTGTTTTATAGGAGAATTAATAAAGAAAATAGTCAAAAGCAAATAAAATCATTTTCAAAGTCAGTTTTATTAATAAATTACCTATAGAGTCATTTTCATCCATCTCAGTGAAATGGGAATTGTACTATTAAATACTATTAACCCCTATTAGATCCCAATAGTTTAACTTATGACATTCAACAAACTAATTAGGCAAACACGGTTTTGATTTTGCCTTTTGATAGCCTACTACACCCTTATAGTTACTATTAAGAGTGGTTCTCATTAACCCGTGAAACAAAGTGTAATAGTCAAAAGTGTAATAAAGTGTAATAGCCAAGAAATATAATAGAAAACAAAAGAGACAAAGTGTAATACGCTAAAAGTGTGTTTCATGGGTTAATGAAAACCACTCTAAACACGGACTAGTAGTAATTGTTTCACAGACAAACGAAAATGACTCTATTAAACTTTTTTTGTTGACTTCCTTGTCATAAACTACTAAACTACCATAAATATTGCATTTGCCGAATGCAAAAGACAAAAAGAAAGTGAGAAATTCGAGATGACAAGACATTTATRGACTGCCATCAACAACACAGTTTCTGTGATCAATGAACTGATGACAGTCTTTAAGAAATATTCTTTTTCTTGTCACAAATCTTGACTGGTTTGGGGGCACTTGTAAATGACATTGACAGACAAATGCACCATGAACAATTGTCTCTAGCACTTTAGACCACTTTCAAATGGAATCTTTTCAAGCAGTGACAGAAAACTGAAACTTGCTTTCAAAGGAGTCAGAAACAGGAACAACAATAATTGCCCATCAAGGTAAAATGGTGGATAAATTGCTCAATTGGAATTCGTTGTTAAGAAATAATCAATTCTATTTTAAAATATATTTGGCATCCATTTGTGGACTGTAATTCTGTTTTGTCCACAATACCACATTTAATTATGGTTTAATATTATAATATTCATAAGGGCACTAATGGCAGTGCCCATTTTTTATCCCCATTGTTTTACTATCTACCAATATGACCAAGGTGGTTGTCTGGTATAAAGATCAGGWGAACTAGTAACATTTATTGGGATAGATATAATGGCTTCAGATACATGAGCTTGTTTGATATTTTCTCTGATGTGATGCCTACAAAACAAACAAGAMACTTTAGCATTCTCACAAAAATCTGGAATTGAAATAGTCTATATATATTTATCAATATTCAATAATTATATTGCTATCTTTAGAATGTTATCATGCAGGGCTGTAAAACCAATTTTAAAAGCAATTTTTAAGAAGAGATAAGAAGTGCATGAGATTATATCACTCATTTTACACTATAATTTTGATATTAGTATAGGTAATAGCATGTTTTGTAGTGGTATTTGGGATAAATATCACGTGTGATATTTCAAAATTGTCAAGTGAAATTTGTGTCATATTTTGAATATCACAAGTCGTATTTATCCCAAATTCCATGTACAAAACATGCTATTATTTGTTTATGAAATGGTTGAATAAAATTGTGCAATTTGAAATACCGCTCCTCTAAGCCAATCAAATTGCATGATTTTATTCAACTATTAATATTATAAAATTGGAATTGTGACTGGTAATCTGTTGACAGAGAACAGCATAATAAAAGTAATAATGACTCTTATATACCCACCCGTCAGAGCCTAATAGGTACCCAACRGGTATATGAACCACCCTATCTGTCCCATCATGCACCATATCCACCATTAAATTTGCATTGTCTGSTGAACTGTCTGCTATGAATACAGCAATTGCTCCAGAATCCTGGGCTTTAGTTGATTTGGTTACAAATGAACATCCTCTGTTGAAACGGAAAAACATTGTATTTTTATAGTTTTTTWWTWTWTWTATATWTTTTTAAAAAGCCTTATRATAATGGAAACTTTATTTGTTTATAGATTCATACAGTTGAAAATCTTACTACGTATAGGCAATAATAATAAWAATCAACTTTATTTTAAAAGGGTAAACRCGTGACAGTGAAAAACTGATAAACTTGTGTCCTTCGTGGTGGTCGATTGGGTCACTGGGATTTGTTTTTAGAAACAGGTGCACAAGAACTTCGTCAATTAAAAAAATAATAATACGGAAACAGCTGAAAATGAAATTACCCTCTAGTGACAAGTGCAATTGCACCATTTATCTCTAAACTGTTAGTTAACGGTTGRCAGGCTTCAGGCGGTTCGGCTACGACGAGACGAACACGATGAAACTGCAGTTTCTGTTGATGAAATAGATTGATGAGTCATCAATCTGACTTATAAGCCATTTCAACTCATTATCAATATTCCTAAAGCGGTAATAAAATAAAACAATTAATGATAGACACTTACAAATAAAGAGCCAAAATCTTTAGCTGGTCTTACTCTGAACACATATCGCAATTTCTCTGGGCTTAAAATTTCAAAATAAACCAGCGAATTGCTTTCAAACAACATGAAATCAGTCGCCGTGTAGATTTTTTGCAAATCTGCAAAATGATTCACNTAAGATTAGTTTTTCACAGAAAAAAAATCCCAAATATAAAAATGCAAAGCAATGAATACCTACTTGTGCATAATTGTACAAAACATGCTAAAAGTATTGTGCCCATCTCAAGTAGTTTTGTCTCCATTTTGTTTCCTTCTTGATGCACGATAACTGCATGCAAGGTATAATGGGAAATCTGAGACTCACTTCCGGTTCCGGTTTAACTCAAGATAGCACGTTTCTTTCTCATATTATTATCAGTTTTCATTCTTAAGAATTTACTCAACCAGTTTCTTTTATATTTCGAGAAGGAAATCAAGAAAGAAAAAACGACTAAAAATTTTGTCCTATCCAGCCCTGAGCCAATATTTTTCAAAACAATTTTATCAGTTTTGCTACGAAACTAGAGGGATTTTCTGGAATTAATAATCTTAAATATAGCTTAATTCTTTATATTTAAAYGATAATCAGTTACTATTTACCAGAGAATATAAAAAAATATAATAGAGAAGCGACGCGCCAACCATTTTCCCGCGCAAACAGGGAGCCCAAAGAYAGTCSAATCAAACGCATGCGTGTTGAAGTAGTTCTTTGTTTTGATCATGGAGCTTGATCATGGCGGACTAGTGAAGGAGGAATATCAAGAAATWCGAGCGATTTTTAACAATGGWAGAGACCCCTGTGCTCTCACAAATGTTGTTGTGGACCCTTTTGAGGAACTTGTTTGGGTTGGCAATCAATCGGTAAGATATTTTGGCAGGAAAGTTGTGCAAAAKCTCGGTCAAAATAAGAATCAAACTTTAATTTTTTTGTGTGGTTATATCACATGTAAGCATATAAATGTATTTCATTCAATTTCTGCGTATTGAATAGAATACGTACTTTAAAAAGTGTCTTTTTTAAGCCCTAAATTCGTTAAATAATCTTAATAAAATAATAAAATAAATGCATTTGAAGTTCTACATGATGCTTGTATTGCCGTTTACAGGGTCACATAACATCATATTATGGTCTACAACTACAAAGATACACAGCTTTTCAAGCTCACCACAGCGAAATTAGACACATGCTRGCCGATGACAGAGGAATTTTGTCTTTATCTTGCAACCAATTACGTTATGGCAAGAGGACAGGGATACAAATTTTTAGCCTGAGGTAAAACTAGAGGACAAGAAGGCATAACAATCATGATCATCAGTGTAGATAGATAGTGGTGATATGAGTTATTGCACTGCAAAAAGCAAACAAACAAACAAACAAAAAAATATCAGTTTGTTTCACCTTCAGTTGTTCTATAATATTATATGTTCTTTTGCAGTCCAGCTGAATTAGCCATACATGTAAAATTATCCTTAATAATTGTACATATATATATGTACTTATCAATTGAGTTAGATGGCTTTACCACTCAATCTGTACAGCATAATCTTTAGCCAAATATTTCCCCATATAGCCCAACCAAACTCAGTCAATAGCATTTTATCTTATGACAACGTTTCAAAATATTTTCAAAAAGTGTTCTTGAGAGCATATGGAAGTGATGATGCCTTCACAGATGCAGGTTTTTCTGGAACAGTTCAAACCCATATGTACCTTTTGACTCTTAGACTATCATCTTCCAAAGATTTCCTTTGGATATGGGTCAATATTGTGCCCAGCGCCCTTGTCCCTCTTACTGCGCATGCTCGACGAAAAACAAGAGCTCTGGAAATATCAAACACCGTAAGCCAGAAACTGGCTATTTCACACATGTGCAGTAGAAACCCGATCTAACTGCTTTATTTTACTGATTTTACTCGAGAAAATCGGCTAAATGAAAGCCTTCGAAGTCAGAAAAGGGATTTTTTAGACCTTAGATGATAAATCTATCTTCTTCGAAGCTATTTTGATATCTATTATGATCAGATAGTAGCAGACAGTGACGGTTAGTGATTATCATGGCGTGACAGTTCGTCGCCTCGTTGTATTCCATTTTATACTTAATTGATCATATTACTCTCAAATTCCTACTTCATAGACTTAATAAATGCTTTTAAAGGAAGAATTCAAGGTGAGGTAGCGAAATACAGAATGATTTGAGTGTTTTTCTCCGTGATATTTTCACTTCCGGCGGCAAGCTGTTTATTTTATGAGCCAATCAGAGAGCGAGAAATTTTCGAAATTTCCAGAGTCACTGTTTTTCGTCGAGCCTGTGAGCCTGCGAGTAAGAGGGACAGTGGCGCTGGGTACGAGATTGGATATGGGTCTTTTGATAACATATATTATTAAATTCTAGTCAGCCAAGCATGTCTAACCTACAATGCATGCTACAAAGAGATAATAGCAATTTGCTGTTAGCTGGACATCAAGACCACATGGTGGAGGTCGACTTGAAAACTGGTTCAGTCACTGGAGAGGTATGGTGATGAAGTTGTTGGCAACAGACAGTTCAGATGATCACTCTATTCCTTCCCTTCTTTAAGTAGTTTCCTTGCATAATTTTTTGGTGGGTTTCCTGTTTTGGTAAGAGGGACAGGAAGCCCAACACTAAAAAGGGATGCAAGGAGACTACTGTCTTATGCTAAAAAAGACTAAAAGAGTTACAAATCTTTTCTAAGCTGACAATTGACAACACAGGGATCCCAGCMCAAGTTGAATGAACAAAGCAGCCTCTGGTTGAAAATCTGTAATACAGTGTACATGTATGTTATATTAAAGATTGGATTTATTTATTTTTACTTTGATAGGTTGAAGTTGATCCTGGTACTGTT